CTTTCGCCAGCCCGTCAGACGGCTGGAGGCGGCATATCTGCTGGCATCATGCTTGCTGTGCCAAAGCATATCGGCCTGGCGCCGATTGAGAGCTTTCCGATCGACGTGCAGGTGGGGAGGATGATGGTTATGCATGTGGGAGGTCTCGTACCTGGGGGATTCCTAGCGTGCACGCTCTATCTGCATCACTCTGTCGGACTTGCGCCAGCCAACTGGGATCTTCTCTGCAGGCTAGGCGCGCTGCTGAAAATGGCCAACATGCCGTTCCTCATCTTCGGGGACTTTAATCTCGAGCCCGACGTGCTCCAGCATTCAGGCTGGATTGATGCAATCGACGGTGCTGCCATATACACGGATGCTGGAACTTGTGCTCCAGCGCACAGGACCATCGATTTTTTCGTTGTCTCCCAGGCGTTTGCGGCGAACGCCTCGGTCTCACTGTTGGCAGAAGTGGAGATCACTCCACATATTCCAGTTAAGTTGAAGTTACCCACCTTGGACACTGTACCCTCGGTGCGCATGGCTATGGTTCCCCGCAGGTTCCCCAGAGAGTTGCCCATTGGTTGCCGTGGAGAGCCCAACTTAGCCAGGTGGGAGGTGGCGTCGGAGATGATGAGCAATGCTAGCATATCTAAGTCGTGGCAAGTTTTCGTCTCGGCTGCCGAGCTTGAATGGTTAGAGGTGTATCAGATTCCCGCTGAGCTTTCGAAACCGTACCTTGGGCGTGGTGGTGATGTTCGTACTGGGTGGTGTCGACCGAGCCGGCCTGCTCCAGTTCCTTTTCCACGTCTGAGCCCTCAAGCTGTGTGGTGGAGAGCCTTGGCCCAGGTCCTCAAGACCCTCACGAGGCCCATCAGCGTTGCCCAGACCAAGCAAGTGCGGTGCAGGATCCGACATCTTCAGAGCTCGCCAGATGTTCCAGATTCGAATCTCGCGGTTTGTTTCCTGGAGGCCCTTGATCGGTTTCGCGTCTTTGATTACGTAGTCATGGACTATTTCGCCGCCGTCGCCAGCGACACTGCCGAGCGCCTGCACAAGCAGGCAACCCAGCTGAAGATAGTCAACTGGGACCGATGGGTTAAAACGCACTCGGTAGGTGGGGCTGCGGCGCTCTTCAAGTATGTGCAGCTGCCTGACCCTTGGCAGCCGTCCACCCTCGACTCCTTCACCCTCCGTCCCAACTCCAGCATGGGGGAAATGGATGAGCTTGAAAGGGAGTGGAGCAAGTGGTGGCAGGTGGGGGTAGCGCAGCCCCCCGTGCACTGGCCAGAGGATCTCGGAGAGCGCCCGCCTCCCCCCACGGTCCCAGAGCTCAAGAAAGTGTTGATGTCCTTCCCGCTAGGCACTGGTTGTGGATACGACCAGGTCCCGCCTAGGAGTTTTCTGCACTTGCCCGACGTTGCGCTCGAGCTTCTGTGCGGCCTCATCGGGAAGATTGAGGAGCAGGCGGACTGGCCTCCCCTCACGAACAATATTGTTTTTATTCTCAAAAGATTGGGAGGAGTCCGACCTTTGGGGCTGTTACACGTTCTCTGTCGGGTGCAGTCTAGGCTGAGAAGGCCTTTGATCAGGCAATGGCAAGTCAAGAACTATCGGAGTTTCTGGTGGGGTACCAAAGGAAAAAGCGCTGACATGTGTGTGTACATTCAGGCAGTGTGGGCGGAGTATTATCAGTCTAAGGGCCTGTCATCTGCTACGTTGCTGCTCGATTTGAAGAAAGCGTTTGAACTGGTCAAGCATCATCATCTTGTCCAGGCGGCCACTCGCACTGGATTTCCATTGTGGCAACTGCGTTTGCTTGTGCAAGTCTATCGGTCGCCCCGCCTGCTTGATCTCCAAGGGACTGTCAGTAATCACATCACGGCGGAAACTACGATTATCCCTGGGTGTGGTTTTGCTACTGTTTTGCTGCAACTGGTTTTGCTGGGCCCCCTGGATGTTGTTCAGAAAGAGTTTCGGGCCATCTGTCTTTCCGTGGTTGTCGACGATTTTGCGTTGCAGAGATCGGGGGAACACGGCCGAGTAGTTGCTGATGTTGCTGGCGCTGGAGTGAAGCTTCAGTGCGAGCTTCAGCGTGTGGATCTACGGCTCGCTCTTGACAAGACGCGAGTTCTTGCTAGTGATTCTGATTTACGTGACCAGCTGTCCAGGAGGCTGGTATCGCTTAGGGCCCAGGGCGTGAACCATGAGCGCAACCTGGGGGTTGACTACAGTTCAGGTCGGTTTCTCAGGAGGGCCACCAGGACGGGCAGAATCAAGGTCGCCAAACCCAAGCTCAAGAGAATGAAACATCTCCAGGGAGGCATGGCCAGGCGGAAAACCATGGCCATCATGGCCAGGGCGGCCCTGGAGACTTCGGTTGCTTTTGGGACCTCCGTTCAGGGTACTGCCTCTAAGGAGCTGGACGTGTTGCGATCCCAGGCCGCTGCGGCGCTCGACGCCAAGACCAGCGGCAAGAGCCGCACTCTCGCTCTCGCGCTCGCGCCGCAGGCCAACTACGACCCGATTTGGAGGGCTACTCTGGAGCCTATCAAAGCTTTCAGCTCTGTTCTTTGGGCGGCGCGCGTGCCATGTCATGTATTAGAGCATGGCCTTGAGGCCGCTAGATTGGCGTTGTCTGGGAAGGACCAAATGTGGCCGCAAGTTCGGGGCCCCCTGGGAGCCCTCTTCGCTACGCTCGCCAGAGTCGGGATCGTCGTCGTTGAGCCCCTGGTCTGGAAGTTGCCTGACGGTCTGGAGCTGAAACTCAAGTACATATGCCCCAGGGTCCTGCTGCACTGCTGTGCGCATGCGGTGCGCCACTGGGTTAACCTGCAGATTTCGGAGCACCTCCAGATGCCCGAGTTCCGTACTGGGTTCTGGGATGGGCCTCTGAAGTACCTCCTGAACGCCAAGGGGAACCTCACTTGGCAGCAGCGTGGCTACCTCAGGAGTGCTATCATTGGAGCTCAGTGGCCCCAAGATCGGCAATTTCAACAAGGATGGATTGACTCCCCGAGTTGCCTTGCATGCCATGAGGCCCCTGGGTCCCTCGTGCATCGGCACGCTGTTTGCAAGAGCATGCTTGAGGCAATAGGAGAGTCACTCCCTGATGCAATCAGACTCATGCTCCCGCATGCGGACCAGAATGACCTGGTGCGCCTGTTGCTGGAGCGTGTGCTCGTCCCGCTCCCCAAGGCCCCTCAGGCAGTTCTGCTGACGCCGTCGGAGCCCTGTGTGGAATGGCACGGGGATGCGCAACAGCTCACAGGGGATCTTTATCTTGATGGCTCACTGTTTACTGATTATCCACATCGCGGGACTGCTGCATGGGCAGTTGTTGCGCTGGCCGCCGACACTGACACGGCTGTCTGCACCATCACAGGTCTCCTGCCCTACCCGCTGCAGGACATAGACGGTGCCGAGCTGTATGCCCTGTTCGCAGTGCTCAGATTCGCTGTGCCACCTGTTGTCGTGCACACGGATTCCGATTTCGTTTGGAAAGGCTACAATATCCGCGGACCTGCTGACACCACGTCGGCGTCGGCGGCTTGGGCCTGTCTTTGGAAGCTCGTATGGCACAAAGTCGATGACTGGGGGGGTACCCCCCCTGAGGTAAAGAAAGTGAAAGCCCACGTGACAGACTTTCTGGTTGCGGAGGGGAGGTATAAGCTTCGAGACAAACTTGGAAATGATGCCGCCGACGGTGCTGCGAACAGTCGTGCTCGCGTCCTGCGGCCCGATCCCCAGTTTCAGAAGCTTACGTTGATGCAGAAGAGAATGGTCAGTCTTACGGGGAAATGGGCCGCCAGGGCGGGTGAGGCCATTGCATCTGTAGACTGTTTGCACCGCCAGCGCTCTGCACGTTCAGCCCCCTCCCTAATCATTGTCAAGCCAGAGCCGCCCACCTTAGAGCAAAGGATCCAGCAGGCTCAGGTTTCTCTGAAGGCCGCTGGGTCCAAGCATCATCGTGTGGCCTCGCTGTTCGTGGGCGAAACCCAGGTTTTTTGTTGCACTCACTGCGCTGCATGCACCACCCAGCGCGTGGTGTCCCTTGCGAGTGAGTGCCAGCCCCGTCATCTGTCGAAGGATCGTCGCCTTATCCTGGAACGATTGAGACGGGGCGAGTACTGTTTAGCCAAGAGCGTTCTGAGGTATGCAGGTTATCGCCTGCTCCCAGAGCCCTAATCCTTGTCATTGGCTACCCTACGGGGGGCGCGGTGCGAGTGGGGACTGCCCGGCGCTGCGCCGTTAGTGACCCTCGAACCGTTGCTCCCCGGCCCCGCGCACGGCGCGGATTGTGTCCGATGGGCGCGGCTAATGGCGGTTGCAAGGTGCGCCCCTAGCCGCGTTCGAGGTCCTGCTGAGGCACCATAGACTCTGTGGCGCCCCAGGCTGTGCCCAGGAGGAGGAGGAGGAGGAAGAGGAAGAGGAGGAGGAGGAGGAGGAGGAGGAGGAGGAGGAGGAGGAGGAGAGGAGGAGGAGGAGGAGGAGGAGGAGGAGGAGGAGGAGGAGGAGGAGGAGGAGGATGGGGAGGGGGAGGGGGAGGGGGAGGAGGAGGAGGAGGAGGAGGAGGAGGAGGAGGAGGAGGAGGAGGAGGGGAGGAGGAGAGGAAGAGGAGGAGGAGGAGGGAGGAGGAGGAGGAGGAGGAGGGGACGCTAGCGCGGTTTCTTCTCACCGACAGGTTGTTGGGGCTCCCTGCCGGGCGGGAGTGCCTCGGCGCCCGCCGCCGCGCGGCCCGCGCCCTGGCCCGCGACAAGGATACGGGCAGCGGCAACGAGTTCACAGCGGCAGCGATCACTACACCTTAGGCGATGCTCAAGAAAACTTAAGTTTTCGGCCAGGGTCTCGATTTCTCTTGACGTTTCAGTTTGATTCCTAAGATTTTGATAGGAGTTCTGGGTTTTAATTCAATTCTGAGACTATGAATTTCTTAACCCATGATTTCTTAAGCATTTCGCAGGGTGTGCGATCACGACGACAACGATCTCAACAGTCACTGGCCGCGCCGGACGGGGGAGGCGCCGCAGCCAGCGTCCGCGCGGGTGTTCGAGGAGTGGCTGCGGGCCGCCGCGCCCAGGCGGGCGCCCGGCCGGCGGGGGGTCGCCGCGGCCTTGCGCGCTTGGGGAGGGGGGCGGCCGATTGCTGATGGTGGCGGTGGTGGTGATGATGACGATGCTGTTGGTGATGATGCTGCTGCTGATGACGATGATGCTGCTGATGATGATGACGACTATTATGGTGGTGGTGGTGGTGATGATGATGCTAGTGATGATGATGAACATGATGGTTATGATGATGATGCTGATGAGGCTGATGATGATGACGATGATGATGATGATGATGGTGGTGGTGGTGGTGATGATAATGCTAATGACGGCGTCGACGACGACGATGATGACGATGCTGATGATCATTATGATGATGATGCTGATTATCATGATGATTCTGATGATGGTGGCGATGATGATTATGATGATGATGATGATGATGATGATGATGATGCTGATGATGCTGATTCGATGCTGATGCTAATGATAATCATTATGATGCCGTGGATGATGGTGATGAAGGTGAATCTATTGAATATACAGCGCCGCGCAGATGCGGATAAGAGTGAGGGGGCGGTGAGGGCGTCGTCAGTCTGCGAGACTCTGAAGAAGCACGCCGCAGGTGCCAAAGTTTCACAAATTATACAAAGAGCCCGCCGCAGGCGCCGATTCTTTTTTCAAACCAATGTGGATCGGTCGCGGGTGGGTCGCGGGTGGGTCGCGGGTGGGTCGCAGGTGGGTCGCGGGGTGGGTGGCGGGGTGGGTCGCGGGTGGGTCGCGGATGGGTCGGGGGGTGGGTCGCGGATGGGTCGGGGGGTGGGTCGCGGGTGGGTCGCGGGGTGGGTCGGGGGTTGGGTCGCGGGTGGGTCGCGGGGTGGGTCGCGCGGTGGGTCGCGGGGCGACAACAAGCAACAACAACAACAACAACACCAACAACAACAACAACAATAACAACAACAACAACAACAACAACAACAACAACAACAACGACAACGACAACGACAACGACAACGACAACGACAACGACAACGACAACGACAACGACAACAACAATAATAACAACAATCATTTTAAGACTGTTCGCCCTTATCTGCTCGAGTGTCCAATATCGTGTATTTCCAATACCCTCGATACCCGTCCTCTTCGTCTTCGATCGAGCCCCTTTTGGGGGATAGACCTTTCTTCCCTGCAGGCCGGGCCCCGGCAAGCGGCGGGGCGGCCGCGGACCGTCGGCTTGGCCAGCGGCAGCGCTGATCGGCGGGGCGGCCGCGGACCGTCGACCCGACCCCAAGACGGACGGACAGGGGACCGACCACGACGACGACGACGACGGCGACGACGCGCGAAAGCGAGAGCGAGAGAGAACGACAGCAGGGCCACGAAGGACACGAAGTAGGCCACGAAGGACGACAGCGGGGACACGAAGGGAATGCGTACGGAGCCACGAAGAGCGCGAACGAGCGGGGGCCACGAAGGGCAGATAATGCGGGGCCACAGAAGAAGGCAACGATGGGGCCACTGAGGGTAGCAACTGGGCCACGTAGGACAGTGAGGGTGCCACAAACGGCGACAGCGGGGCCACGAAGGGCGTGCACATGGGGCCACAACGGGCGCGACTCCTGGGTGCGTGGGTGTCGGGAGCGCGGCGTTTGAGCAACTTGCAAGAAATTCCAACGCAAGGGCGCTATTCTTTAGTAAACTGCAAGCTCGAGAGCGCGACTCCAGAGCGCCGGGAGAGCGATTCCTGAATAAATTGTAACCAAGTCCCAAGCGAGAGCGCGATTCCGGAATAAAATGCGAGGAAGTCTCGGGCGGGAGCGGGGGTCCTGGCTAAATTGTGAGGAGGTCTCAGGCGGGAGCCGTTGTTGTTGTAACCCGGGGGCCAGGGGCACAGTTTGAGCATCAAGGTTTTCCCTGTCAAAAAACAGGGTGCGAGCGTCGAGGGGCACACTTTGATTGAGACAAAACAGCATGCACGGGTGGGGGGGATCGACAATAATTATTCTTCAGAAGTGAGAGTTCAACGCAACAAACACAATCTTCACCACGGACTTTCATTGCAGCCACGCACCAATGGACAATGAATGACCGTTCGGCCCCCTCACCCTGATCTAGTGGTCTTTGGCCCATCCCGCCACCGTGCCTGGGTTGTGAGTTAGAGGTCTCTTGGATGTTCGTTTGGATATTGTGGGAGGTCCCTCAGGGGCCTCCTGGAGGCAGCTTGGAGATCTCTTGGAGGCTGTTTGTGGGCCTCTTGGGGCCTCTTCTTGGGCGTCTTGGGGGCCTCGTGGGGCCTCTCGGGGGGCTCTTGGGCTCTCCTGGGGCTCTCTTGGGACCTCCTAGGGGCCTTTTTCGGCGGAAGGCTCGAATTGTCGGTTCATGTTCCCACTTTTGGGCCCTTCTTGGGGCCGTCTTGGGGTCTTCTTATGCGATCTTGGGCGCCTCTAGGGTCGTTCTGGGGCCCTCCTGGACCTTCCTGGGGCCCTCTTGGGGGCCTCTTCGGCCGTCTTGGGGCGGTCTTGGGGGCCTCTGGGGCCACCTTGGGGCGTCGGAAGCCAGAAAACGCGAGAACATAAACCACATCGAAAATCATACCAAGAAAATTCACGATTCTGGCCTCTTGGGGCCCTCTTGGGAGGTCTCTTGGGGCGTCTTCGGGGCCTCTAGACCTCTCTGGGGCCATCTTGGGCGTCTTGGGCCAATCTCTCCGTGACTCGAGGCCGTCTTGGGTCGTCTTGGAGGCCTCTTGGGACCCTCTGGGGACCCTCTGGGCCCGTCTCGAGGCGCCCTTGGGCCCGAACAAGCCAAGCGGGCAGCCGCGGCAAGGCCCCGGGGAACCGCGCCAGGGCCCGAGAGATTTGGCAAGTTGGGCTCCGGGCCCCTTAACGACTCCTCATGAGTGCTGGCTGAGGCTCAGGCGATGAGGCAAAGGACGGGTGACCTGAGAACACGCCCAGTCCGTGCCCAGAGGCACGGTGGCCGATGATTGGTTAGGAAGATGAGCACGACTATGATAATCATGTTGGCTGTGGTGATGGTAGTGGTGCTGATAAAAGATGCTGATGATGAGGATGCTGCTGATGCTGATGCTGATGTTGACGATGATGATGCTGCTGATGATGCTGATGATGATGCTGATGCTGATGCAGATGCTGATGCTGATGATGGTTGTGGTGGTGGTGGCGGTGGTTGGGCTGGTAGTGATCATGGCGGTGGTGGCTGTGGTGATGATAGTGGTGCTGATAAAAGATGCTGATGATGAGGATGCTGCTGATGATGATGCTGATGCTGATGCTGACGATGATGATGATGATGCTGATGATGCTGATGATGATGCTGATGATGATGATGCTGATGCTGATGTTGACGATGATGATGCTGATGATGCTGATGATGATGCTGATGATGATGATGATGCTGATGATGATGCTGATGCTGATGATGATGATGATGATGATGATGGTTGTGGTGGTGGTGGCGGTGGTTGGGCTGGTAGTGATCATGGCGGTGGTGGCCATGACGATGGCAGTGGTGGCCATGTCGATGTCGATGTCGATGGTGATGGCGATGGCGATGGCTATGATGGTGAGGCTGATGATGATGATGATGCTGATGCTGATGCTGCTGCTGATGATGATGAGGATGATGCTTCTGTGTGATGATGACGACGGTGATGACGCTGTTGCTGATGATGATGATGATGATGATGCTGATGACGATGATGCTGATGCTGATTGCGCTGATGATGATCATACTGATGATATTGACTGTGATTCTGATGACGACGGTGATGCTGATGATAAGTTGATGATGATACTGCTGATGATGATGCTTATGCTTATGATGTTGATGATGCTGATTATGATGATGGTGACGATGATTATGATGGTGCTGATGATCATGCTGATGATGCTGCTGATGATGATGATGATGATGAGGATGATTCTGATGATTATGATGCTGATGTTGTTGATGATGATGATGCTGATGAGATGATGACGGCGACGATGATGATGATGCTGATGATGCTGATGCTGATGATGCTGATGCTGATGCTGCTGATGCTGATGCTGATGCTGATGATGATGATGCTGATGATGATGATGATGATGATGATGACGACGACGACGACGACGACGACGATGATGATGATGATGATGATGATGATGATGATGATGATGATGACGATGATGATGATGATGATGCTGATGGTCCTGATGAGGAGGAGGAGAAGGAGGAGGAGGAGGAGGTGGAGTAGACAGGAGGAGGGGAGGAGGCGGAGAGGGGGAAACGTGAGAGGAGCGAGAGAAAGATAATGAAGGGACGGCTCATCCTCTCCCTCCCTTTCCCTCCTCCCTTCCCTCCTCTTCTCAACCTCCCTCAACTCCTCTCCTCCTTTCCTCCGTCTTGTTTGTCATCCTCGTAAGGGGGTTGTCGTCTTCGCTGCCGACGACGGCAGCGAGGACCCCGTCAGGCTGGCCAGGCTCCCGCTGCTGCTGGTGGTGCACGCGGAGCGGGACGCGGAGAGCTCCGTGCGCGACGCGCGTGCCCTCCTCGGCTGCGTGGGATGGGCGGGTGGAGGAGGAGGGGGGGGAGGAGGAGGAGGAGGGGAGAGGAGCGGAGGAGGAGGGGAGGGAGGAGGAGGAGGGAGGAGGAGGAGAGAGGAGGAGGGGAGGAGGAAAACGGGAGCAGGAGGGGGGACGCTGGCGAGTAGGAGGCGGAGGAGGACGAAGGGTGAGGAGGAGGAGGAGGAGGAGGAGGAGGAGGAGGACCAGAGGAAACCAAAGATGCACAAGCGATGCTGCAGAACGCCCTCCCGTCCCAAGTCCCCTCCGCTTATCTACACTTGTGGTCATGAACTTCGAGGAAGTCGAAGGCGACGGCTTCATTCTGAAACAGAGCCGCCATGGAGCCGTGCAGCGCTACGTGTGCTGAAGTTTCGGGCCTGAACTCGTAACGAAGTCTCAGGCGATAGCTCCATTCTGAGAAGGGTTCAGTGACAACCCATAGTAAGGACGGGTCACCTTCCCAAGGGCACCTTTGCGTCCTCAGATTTGTTCGGCAGTGCGCCGCTAGAGAAGCTTCAACTGGGGCGTCCAAGGACCTTCCAAGGTTCTTGCGTCCTTGCAACGCGTCCTTAGTGCAGATTCTGACTGTAGTCTCCACCCCGCCCTTCGCTGCATGACACCATGCATGCGCGCGGGCCGAGGCGAGAGCCCAATCTTGAAGGAACGACCAGCGCTCCGTCCTAGAATCGGCGGCGAGCGAGGGGAGGAAGTGAGAAGGAGAAGGCTATCTCAGAAGGCGGCGGGACTTCTCAGAAGCCCTCGCGCCTTTGGGACATTTTTTTTTGCTGTCGTCGGGGAAGGCTCAGACCATTTCTCAGAAGGCCAGGGGGCTTCCCAGCCTTCTGAGAAGGCCTTCGGCTTCTCACTTTGGCCCCCTCACGCGCCACCCCCTGCACCTGTTGCAGGATTTTGGGGCAGCTGCTCGCAGAGGCCTTTCTTCGAGAGAGGACCGCCCCCCTCGGCCGCCGAGCCGGTGCGGACCCGTGAGGGCGCCTGGCGCTGCGGCGAGAGGACTACAGTGGAGGCCCCTGCCGAGAAGCACCCTGCCTGCCTCCAGGGTGCCCTGGGTTTCTTGGGCGTCCGATGCTTTTCGCCGCGGAGAGCGTGACGTTCCCACGCCCGAAATCGATGCACGTCCTGGGGTCTCAGGGCTGGATTTCCTGTGGAAGGTTTCTTGTGGACTGGCATCGACTGTACTTTGATTGAAAGCCACCCCCTTCCATGATCAAGCTTACGGGAAGGATTGTCTCAACGGAGTCAATGGTGCAAATTCTGGATTTTGACGCAATCGTGTGCTACGACATCTGTGTCTCGGCGCTCGGGCGCTCCCGTCAAGCTCTTGAGGGCCGCCCTCCCCGGGGGGCGTACATCGGCGCCATGCTTTGTCTTGCCTGGTCTACCCACTTCCATCCCTGAAAGTGTTGCAAGCTTCTACGACTAATGTTCGCGGCGTTCAGGCGGGAGTCACATTTTGAAAACGCACCCCGCCATCCGTGAACCTGTTGCCATGTTTCAGACGATTCGTAGGCGGCGCTGAGGCGGGAGCCACATTTTGGGAAGGAGCCACCCTTCCTCCGCGAAGTTATTGCCAGCTTTTAGCACGAGTGTGCGCGGCCCTAAGGCGAGAGCCACATTTTGAAAAGGAGGCGCCCTCCATCGGTGAATGGATGCAAACTCCTAAGAACCACACTTTGAGAAGGATGCGTTCTCCATCCGTGAATTTGTCGCACACTTTTCAGACTGATGTGCGCGGCGCTATGGCGAGAGCCTAGAGCCACACTTTGAAACAGAGCAGCCCTTCATCCGCAAAACTGTTGCAAACTTTTGAGACGAAAGAGCGCGGTGCTGAGGCAAGAGCCACACTTTGAAAGCCACCCCCTCCATCTTTGAAATTGTTGCAAGTTTCAAGCTTCAGCATCACATTGCCAGGAAGTCTTAGGCGAAACGCCTGGCCCCCCCTACCGATACGTCTGGGGGTGCGACAGGGACGAGTTATTTTGAAGAAGAAGGGAAGGATAATCAGCAGGAGCAGGAGGAGGAGGAGGAGGAGGAGGAGGTGGAGGTGGAGGTGGAGGAGGAGGAGGCGGAGGAGGAGGAGGCGGAGGAGGAAGAGGTGGAGGAGTGTTTTCCCCACCGTTTTTTGTTGGGAGCCTCCAGAGGTCTCCAGGGAGGGGACGAGGACGATGGGGGGGGGCAGGGTCCACTCCCCATCCCCCTCCTCTTCCTCCTCCTCTTCCTCTTCCTCCTCCTCCTCCTTCGAGCGTCGAGCTGCAGACAGTGTCGAGCAATGCCTCCTCCTCGTCCTCCTCCTCCTCCTGCCCCACAGTCCTTCTTCGCCCCCCCTGCGCCGCCCGAGGCGCCATTGTGGCCCGCGTCCGCGCCGAGGGCGGCTGCGCGAGGCCGCGCCCATTAGGGGCGTCGGAGGCCCCCCCGGAGGCCCCGAGGTCTGGACTGGAGTCGGGCATGTCCCTCTACAGGAGGAGTATTCAAGAATAGTAAGAGCATAAAGACCGGGTGACGATGTGTTCTGCTTTTGTGTGGCATATACGTACATGCTTTTATGTTTGTGCATGTGTATAGGTATCTGTACATGTGTACGCATCTATATGCATATGCGTATGTTTATGTATAGGTAGATGTACACGTTCATGTACACGTATACATTCATGCATATGTTTGTATATATATAGTTATAGGTTTACGTATTCGTGTGTATACACATATATAATCATTTGCGTATGCAGGTGTGTATACAACTGTTTTTAACACACATATACATATATGTATATGTACATGCATACCTACATGTATTGTACTTGTATATATATATATATATATATATATGAAATATACAATTGTATATCGCTGTGTATGTTTGTGCACATATATGCCTGATCATACGTATATGTGTATAAATATGTATATACATACGTATACGTGTGCATGCATCTGTATATGCATGCATGTATACATATAATATATGTAGATGCAGATGCACACGCACATATATATATATATATATAAATATATGTATATGTATGTGTATGCAAACGCAACTGTATTTGTATGTGTAGTGTAGGTCTCTGTAGGTGTGTAGGTATGCACCGATATATATATATATATATGTATATATATATATACATATACATGTATGTATGTATATATATATATATATATATATATATATATAGCTCCCGCCCTCCTCTCTCTCTCTCTTCCCAATTCTGCCTGCAGGAGGACATGCCCGACCTAAGTCTGGACGGCGTTGCAGGATGTGGGGGCGAAGGAAGGGATGAAAAACGGTGCCCAAAAAGGGGGGCCTGAAGGGGCTCCCAAGGGGCCCTGAAGGGTTCCCATAGGGAGCCCTGAAGGGGCCCCAAAGGTGCCCCCCAGTACCCAAAAGGGGCCGCAAAGGGGCCCTGATGGGGCCCCCCAGTACCCAGTCTGGAAGCGATGGGCGCTCCATGGGCCACAGACCAGTACCCAAAAAGGGTCCCGGTCTGGAAGCGATGGTCTGTTGGCCCCCTTCAAAGAATGTTTACGGAACCTAGTACAGAGAACTCGAAGGGACCGGGGGACACTTGACTTCGTGTCTCAGGGCACGGTGGCGGATATGCGCGTCGGCCACGCAGGGGCGATGCGCACGTTCGGGAATCTAGTATAAACTCCGTGGCGGGTTCTTTCTGGCCATACCGCTGGGGAAACGCGAGTGTACACGATTATGTGCGATATGTTCGGGTAGGACTGGTGTATCCGAAGTATGTCCTTCTGCTTCCCATCTGGCCAGGCTGGCGCCCAGCCATTCACGGCCGCCTGCGGTCCGATTCGATTCGATTTGATTCGATTCGCCAGCTGGGGCCGCGATTCCGATTCGATTCGATGCGGCTCAATTCAACGGGATGGGCCAGGGCCAGCCATAGCAGGGCGCAGCGATCCCATTTCGATCCGACTCGGAACGATTGGCTGGCGATGCGCTTCGTTTCCAATCCGATCCGACTTCGCGATTCGATGCAGCTCGGGCCTGCCAGAGGATGAGGATGAGGAGGAGGAGGAGGAGGAGAAGGAGGAGGAGGACGAGGACGAGGAGGAGGAGGAGGAGGAGGCGGAGGAGGAGGAGGAGGAGGAGGAGGAGAGGGAAGGGGATGATGATGATATGATGATGATGATGATGATGATGATGATGATGATGATGATGATGATGAGGAGAGGAGGAGGAGGAGAAGGAGAGGAGGGAGGAGGAGAGAGGAGGAGGAGGAGGGGAGGAGGAGGAGGAGGAGGAGGAGGAGGAGGAGGAGGACCAGAAGGATTGCCCCGCCGACCCCCTGTGAAAGGCTCGCCGCGGTGCCAGACGAGGCGGCCGACTCCGACCCAGGGCGCAAGGGGGCGCGGCGGGGCCATCGGTGCGCCCTGCCGCCTGCCCACCGGTGGCAGCGATGGCGTCGTGGGAGGGCCAGTCGAGGCGACGCTTAAGTCGGGCATGTCTTCCTGGAGGAGGAATTCTCAAGAATAGTCAAAGAGTCGTCTGGGGACGATCTTTCCAGTGTTTTTGAATACTGTCGATTCGTTCCCGACTATTCCTTATCTAGTTGAACGCCCTGAGGGGGCAGACACCGCCGCCCACTTTTTTTGGAACGCGGAGTTTCTCTGCGGGGGTGTCCATGGCGACCCGAAGGGTCCAGAAAGGCTTGGAGGGCGGCGCAAGAGGGCGGCAAGAGGCTCTGAAGACTGCATGACATGCACCACACGTGTCGTCGTCGCCGTCGTCGTCGTCGTCTTCGGATGCGGGTTCGAGCACCCGTCCGGTTCGACCCCTTGAGTGGTATGGGCTCCGATTTGGAGCGGATCTCTGAATTTGTCGGCCTTCTGGAGGGCTCAGTGTGGCCGATGCCGGCGTCGTTGCTGCCGTCGTCGTGTAGAGGTTGGGGAGAATGATGGAGGAGGAGGATGAGGAGGAGGAGGAGGAGGAGGAGGAGGAGGAGGAGGAGGAGGAGGAGGGCTCAGGAGGACGAGGACGAGGAGGATGAGGAGGATGATTAGGACGACCACCATGCATATGCGGAGGGGGAGGGGTTCAGTAGGACCAGGTGGGTGGAACAGAAGGGGATGATGAAGATGAAGATGAAGATGAAGATGAACATGAATACGAAGACGAAGATTATGATGATGCTGATGACGATGATGATGCTGATGATGATGCTGATGATGATGATGATGATGGTGATGCTGATGATGACGATGATGATGCTGATGATGATGATGATGATGATGAGGATGAGGAGGATGATGATGCTGATGATGATAATGATGATGATGAGGATGATGAGGATGATGAGCATGATTATTATGATGCTGGTGATGCTGGTGATGATGATGGTGGTGGTGATGATGATGCGGCTGATGCTGATGATGATGACGATGCTGATAACGATGATGATGTTGATACTGATGATGATGCTGATGATGATGATAATGATGATGATGAGGATGATGAGGATGATGAGCATAATTATTATGATGCTGGTGATGCTGGTGATGATGATGGTGGTGGCGATGATGATGCGGCTGATGCTGATGATGATGACGATGCTGATAACGATGATGATGTTGATACTGATGATGATGCTGATGATGATGATGCTACTGATACTGATGATGATTCTGATGATGATGACCATGATGATGGTGATGATGATGATCATGCTCATGATGATGAAAATGCTGATGATGATTGTGATGAAGAGGATGATGTTGCTGATGCTGATGATGATGATGACGATGCTGATGATGATGATGATGCTGATGATTGATAGTCTTGGTGATGCCGTGGACGTCCACAACCGACGACGACTGATGAGTACCATGTTGACAGCTCCGAACATGATGATGGTGCTGCTGATGATGATGCAAATGATGCTGCTGACGATGATCACCATGAAACGGGCTATCAGCATCATCGTGATGATTCTGATGTGTACGATGTCGGATCTTCACTTGTTGATGTGCATCTTGGCTGCTGGTGTAAACTCCATGTGTCCGCGTGCGCAGCCATGTGGGTCGTATGACCCTGAGGCCAGTACGGCCGCAGAGAGGCTGGAGGAACTGACAAGAACCGTCGGGTTCGTCCCAGAAAGCGCGCCGAGGAGTGTCTTCCCCATGTCCCCGAGACTGGGACGGCTGCAGAGAGGCTGGAGAAGCCCAACAACAACCGTCGGGTTCGTCCCAGGGGCACCTCCAGAGGGGCCCAAAGAGGAGCCGGAATGGGTCAAGTGCGGCGACTTGGGGTGAACGATGAAAACAGGAAGGGAAAAGAAGCAGTCCGGGTTTGTTTGCGGCTCTTGGAAGAGCCTCTGGAGGCTCTGAGGGGGCGTCCCAGATGGGCGAAACACTGTGCCGAGGAGGCGGCCAGACGGCCCAAGATGGGTCCGAGAGTCTGTCAGGGCGGTCGTAGAGAGCATGCCCGGGTCTTAAGATGGCCACAAGAGCCAGCGGAGATGCACAGGAATTCTGAGAGAGGTGCAGGGAGAAGTGCGAGAAGGCCAGAATCATCAAATTCTGATGTGTTTTACTATTTTTTTTGCTTGTTGGGGTGTTTTGGTATATGTGGCTCGAAAAGAGGTGGAAAGGCATCTGATACGGCTCAAAGTGGCTTGAAGGAGGATGAAAATGAGCCCAGGAGAGCCTCAGGATGCCCGAAAAGCCGGCTCAGTGGGCTCCTGGAGAGGTCTTTGAGAGCCTGGCGGCGCCTGGAAGGCTAGCACGTGAAAGGGGGGTGGTCGTCTTGGGACGGACAAGGCGGCCAGAAGGCGCCCTGGCCGCAGCCGGGGCCCCCGGGCCAGCGGAATGAGCGAGGCGCGGGGAGGACCCAAGGAGGGGTTGCGAGGGCTCAGAGGCAGAGGTAGGTATGAAAAGCGCGCTGGAGAGAAGACTTACACAAAGCATTATCGAAGACCATGCTGTGGATCTCAGACGCCGTACCCGGTGGGGCGGTGGATCGCTTCGCTCATGCGGCCGGCCCATATTGCCTCGCCGTTTGGGGGCCGCGTTGGGGCCTCTTGGGGGCCTCTGGGAGGCAGTTTTGAGGCCTCTTGGAGGCCGTGTTGGGGCCTCTTGGGGCCTCTTGGGGGCCTCTTGGGGCTTCCTGGGGTGCCTCCTGGGGGCCCCTTGGGGCCTCTTGGGGGTCTATTGGAGCCTCCTGGGGGCCTCTTGGGGCTGAAGGCTCGACTTTCCGGTTCTTGGTCCCCGTCTTGGGCCCCTCTTGGGGCCGTTTTGGGGCCTCCTGGGGCCATCTTGGGCGCCTCTTGGGCTGTCTTGGGGCAATCTTGAAGCCCTCTTGGAGGCTTCTTGGGCCGTCTTGGGGCGGTCTTGGTGGCTTCTTGGGCCGTCTTGGAGAGATGGAAAGCCGCAATGGCGAGAAACGTCGTGCATGCGAGACATTTTCCGTTTCCCGCAGGGAATGGGACGATTTTAGCTTCTAGGGGCCCTCTTGGAGAGCTTTTTGAGGCTCTCGTGGGGCTTCTTCGCGGCCTCTGGGGCCATCTGGAGACCATCTTGAGCGTCTTGGAACGATCTTTCGGCGAATTCGGGGCCTCCTGGGCCGTGCAGGGGGCGTCCTGGCGCCCTCTTGGCGCGCTCCTGGAGCGCCCCGGGGGAGTCGGCCGGGCATCGGCCCGGGTACTGTTCGTCCGGGGGTCCCCAGGGGCCGCCACGCGCGCGCGAACTAGAACTATTGTCAGCCTGTTGCCGGAGATCTTAGCACGCCTCTGGCCCCGTTGGGCCGGCGAACTTTTCATCCAACATCGGCTTGAAGGAGGGCATGCCCGACCCAAGGCAACGGCTTCTTTAAGGGTTTTCTTTTGGAGGTGCACCAGCCCCGGTCGCCCATCTTTTCATCCACATTGCAAGAACAGGGGCCCGAGTTGGAGCCGTCTTGGGGGTCCGAGGTGGCCCAGCTCTGGTTTTGACCAGCAGGACAGAATGGGGAGGTTCGAGGCTCTGGGTTCGGGAAGGCTTTTCGCGTTTTTCGGCCTCCAGGGGGCGTTTTCGGGCCCTAGGGCCGTCAGAAACGGCTCAGGGGTGAAAAACTGTACTAGATGGACTCCAGGAGGTGCACGGGGACCGACGTTGAGTCGATTTGGCATCATCCCCCCTCCTGACCGACGTTCTGGAGTTCCAACCGCTTCAGACCTCCTTGCTACCTCCAAGATAGGAGCTCTCTCTCTTGTAGCTGCACTGAACTAAGCCGCCCATCCTTTCATCCAACATGCAAACACGGGGGCCTTAGTTGGGCTACGCCTGCACTGTTTTACCAGGATTCGGGGTTCTGTTTCCCCAAACAGTGCTTGCACGTAGGGGTTCTTATCTCTTTTCTCAAGAACTGGGCCTGTGGACCGCCATGTGGCCGCCGTCGCCGTCTCGTTTCACCCCGTCGCCGCGCGTCGCCTGGGCCTGCGGGCCCCTATGGCCGCCATGTCGCCGCCTCGTCGCCGCCCGTTGCCCCCCGTCGCCGCCCGTCGCCTGGGCCTGCGAGCCGTTTTGGCCGCCATGTGGCCGCCATCGCCGCCTCGTCGCTGCGCGCCGCCTCGTCGCCGCCCGCTTTGCGGTGCTTTGCGTTGCTTTGTATGTTTTGCATTACTTTGCATTTCTTTGCGTTCTTTGGCATTGCTTTGCGTTGCTTTGCGTTACATTGATTGCACAACATGTATAGCACCGCGTATCTTTCACAAATATTGTGCCAAGTATATTCTCCTTTAAAGAATTTCGCTGGCCCAACGGGGTCATATTCGTGCTAAGATCTCCGGTAACAGGTTAACAATATTTCTAATTCGCGCGCGCGTGGCGGTCCCTGGGGACCCCTGGACGAAAAGTACCGCGGGCCATGCCCGACCGACTCCCCCAGGGCGCTCCAGGAGCGCGCCAAGAGGGCGCCGGGACGCCCCTACACGGCCTAAGAGGCCCCGAGTCGCCGAAAGATCGCTCCAAGACGCCCGCCCGAGTGACGGACTCGCAATGAGGTTCACCACGCAGATTGCACCACGTAGATTTCCATTCAAAAACAAATCAGGATCCTCCCCCCCTGGGTGTCGCGGCTCCCCCTTGGGACATTCCCTCATCCCTCCCTTCCTCCTCCTCCCTCCCCCTCCTCCCTCCTTCCCCCCTCCCTCACCTGCCTCCTCCTCTTCCTCCTCCTCAACTCTCCTCCTCCTCCTCCTCCTCCTCCTCCTCCTCCTCCTCCTCCTCCTCCTCCTCCCCCCTTTCCTCTCCCTCCTCCTCCACTCCCTCCTCCTCCTCCTCCTCCTCCCCCTCTTTCTCTTCCTTTTTCCCTCCGCCCTCTTCCCTCCTCCGTCCCAGCCTCCCTCCTCCACACCCCTCATCCCTCCTCCTTTCCCCTCATTCTCTTCCCTTCCCTCTGGCTGCTTACTCCGCTTCGAAACTCTCTTCCCCCTCCGTCCCTCTCCTCCACCTCCTCCTCCTTCACCACCGCCGCCGCCGCCGCCGCCGCCGCCG